TTTTGGTTTGCAACATTTGTTACTTAAAGATCAGCGGAAGTAACATTAATATTTTAAAGTAGGCAGCTGTTACAAAACAAGTCTGTTTTCTTGTACCTTAACAGTGTGTTCATTGTCATCATTATCATCAGTTGGACTTGTCATGTTTCAATCTCCTGCCATTCTGCACTTTGAAGTTGAAATGTTAACACAGGCCTAATGCATCCTGTGTAAAATATGATGGTTCTGCATTTTGTATCCTTCTGGTGACTTGTCAAAACCTGGGAGTTAAGCATCTATGGATGGAAGCCAATCTGATACACCAACCTAAGAAACAAGACATTGTTACCTCCATGAAAATGTAATCTTTTTGGTCTGTCTATCTGTGTGTGTTTCTGTATATTTGTGGTCAGCTTTTGACCCCCACTTTTGCTTTTGAATGAATTGTGATGATATTTGTTATGTAGATACATGTAGGTCTTGTGAAGACCAAGGTCAAGGTCAATTATGGGCTTCCTATTGGTTGCCCTCAGTACTGCAGCAGAAAGTCATTTTTATGGCTTCACCACAAAGTGGTGAAGACATATTGTGTTCCCTCATGTTTCTTCTTCTTCTCCTGCCATTTCTTTAAATGGATTCATCTCTGCCATTTTCCGGCCAAATAACACGAAATTTGGCATGAAGGTAGAGTGGGCAAATACCCCGACGCGCTTTTTTCATTTTTTTGAAAAATTGTTTTATTTGGGTTTTTTGGCCATTTTCAGGCAAAAATATACATTTTGAGATCTGGTTCCCAGGTACTAAAACCAAATGACCTGAAATTTGGTATGGGGATACCTTGGACATATGTCTACAAAAAATCATTCAAGCTATTGACATACACCACTTTAAAATTGGGAAAAATAAGGCTTTTTGGCTATTTTCGGACCCAAATCGTACACTTTTTTGGTCTCCTGTGCCCTAATATTAAATCTGAATGACCTGAAATTCGGTATGGGGAATACCTTGGACACGTGTCCAAAGAATGCCATTCACACTTTTGACATATATCACTTTAAAATTGTGTAAAATAGGGCTTTTTTGCTATTTTCAGACCAAAAATGTACATTTTTGGCTCCTGTGCCCTAATATTAAATCCGAATGACCTGAAATTTGGTATGGAAATACCTTGGACACATGTCCAAAGAATGTCATTCACGATTTTGACATACACCACTTTAAAGTTATGTAAAATAGGGCTTTTTGGCTATTTCCGGCATTGGAAGGTTCCATTTCTACATGGGGGTGTAGACTATTGGCAGCCATCGTAGGATGGATCCATTTTCGGTATGGGGGATAGGGTGAAGCCATCTGCTGCATTTGCTCTCAAGCAAATGTCGGCCTTTCTAGTTTTCTTTACCTTTTGTCCTGGACATGCTAGGTAGGGCCTTGATATTTTGGTGGCAGATAGCTTTTTCAGTGAGGGAAAAAGTGTTGTAGGTTTGGTCTCCCTAGCAGCCTGTTCTGGAACTGCAGCGGTAATTTGGCAGAAAATCTTTCAAAGAGGTTGTCAAGAAAGAAAGGATGGAACAACAAACATAGAGGTGCGGTGGGTGACATGCCAGTAAAAATCACCGACTCCCACAGTTTAACATAAGAGAACTTTTCTACCATTAAACCTAGAGCTGACACGGATAAAAGAAAAGAAAGATGAACTTGGCTCACCGTTGACGACCAGCACCACCTCCCTGGAGTCCTCGCCTGACCCAGGCACCACCGCGGTGCACACGTAGGTGCCGGAGTGGCTCTGGTCCACGATGGGGAAGCTGAGCGTGTCTCCTGTACCCAGTACCGAGGAGGAGCCCTTCTTGGTCCACATGATGGTGGGGGAAGGGTTTCCGCTCCACTTGCACACCAGCGCTGCCGAGGTCCCCCTGTCCACGATCACCTGTCCTGTCGTCTTCACGATTTCTGGCCCATCTGAGCAGGGAAAAATACAACATTTCAGAATGTATGGTTTATGCCAAGTAGCAGTTACTCAGGGCAGGCAACTGGATAGATTTTGAAAATAGTTAGACATTTCAGGTTAGCCTGGGTGGCAACGGAGCTCCCTGCCCCGTCTTCACGATTTCTGGTCCATCTGAGCAAGAAAAGAAAGCAGCGTTTCAAAACCTACAGTTTGTGGATGCATACAAACATTGTTTAAGCCTTTAAATTTGAATATCGCGGCCAATTAAAGCTTGAAGATTTTTTAATGGCCTTGTGACATTTTGTTGGTTGATACTAGTAATTTGATAATGAGTAGGAAAAACACAACATGCAAAATGACTACTCAGGCAACTGAATAGACTTGAAAATGGTCAGATATCTTGACAGAAAGAGTTTATCAGTCAACAGGTAATTATGTAATGAATCAGCTTAAGGCCCCCCAGTTTATGGTTACTTGTATATACACATGTATGTTGTCCAACCCTCAAAATGGGCCTGTGACATTTTTATGATTTAATTATAGCCAGTATAACCGCCCTTCAGAGCCCAACACACCAGCATCCTAGGTTGGTGACTCTGGTACTTGAAGGTATGACTATAACTTGATTGAAGTCCTAACATTTGTAATTCGACTTCACCATCAGTAACATGTTTGAATCAGCCCAAATCCTCCCAATGCCTGAAGATTTACAGCTTCTTCTCTCACTACCAACCAGAACAATGGGCTGCATTCATCTTTAACTGATTGTCATCTGTTTCATTTTAAAATCATTGTTGGAGTAATAAATCACTGCATTATCAGCTACTTCAGGGCCCTACAGGTCTTCAAGTTAATGGGCACTTCCTGCAGCGTGCAGATGTTGGTGATACTGTGTCAAATGAAGTACTGCTGATGTGCAACACCATGGTTTGTATTGCCGGCACATCGCCAGAACGTAGTGCGCCTGCGCAAAACATGTAATGCATTGTGCACTTTGGTAAAATGTCTTGGTTAAGGTCGCATTCACGTATGTAAGGATGACATCCCATCTCCATTGGCACAGTTTTCAAATGTTGTGTAGGAAATGATATTGTAGATGCAAAGGGCAAATTCTGAAGCAACATTGACCAAACATCCAACATAAACAGCGAAAAATCCACATTTCGTGCCAGCAAAGTACGTTCTGCTGATGTGCTTGTATTGTTAATATTGTCCCCATCCTTAGATGTTTGATTTGATTTACTTTAATCTTAACGATTTAATCTTGTAATTCTGACACATGCTTCCTATCCAGCCTAAAACAGATCTCAAAGACGACAGAAAGCAGTACGTCTTGTTCCTTGTGCCCTGATGTCTTACTCCTTTCCACACACCCTGATCCCCCTGCCCTCTATTGGCGCCAAGAAGGGAGAGATCTGGAGAGTGCAGAGTGTAAGGAACAGCTTCTCAGGCTCCAGACCAGATCGGTGGGATTTATCAAACTTGTCAACCCAGTTGGTCGGCTGGCTGGGGGACCACCATGTTGGCCAACAACAAACAGGCTTCACTCCTCACTTTCAAAAACAGCTTCTTTGAAGGAGAACAACTGTGGTGCAAAACATAGGAGTCAGCTGGAGCAAAGGTTTCTTACATGTACCTTGCTGTGATTTGTGTTACGGGCGTTTTATGGTCAACTACACATATAGATTTATGCTTCCCTTTATTGATTTTTTTGTGTGTGTCCAAGAACAGAATTGCCCTGGAAAAGAAATTTGGTATCTAAGTTAGTCTTGTATATGTTGGGATGTAAGCCCTTTAGTATATTCTGTACTGTAGACCCCCCCACAATATACCAAAGCTACAGACATGGATCTATATACAACTGTATACCCCCCCCCCCCCCCACGGAGTCAGTCTAATCCTTATCTAGACATCTGCTCTGCCATTGCTCTAGATTTGTGGAAAAGATGACTGATAATATAATCGTAATTTTGGAATTGCCAAGTATCTTTGGAACAGCCCTGTGTGACACCTTTTGTG